TGTGGTTATTCTTTCGTAACCCGGCTAAGCTTTCCTTGTCTGAAGGTGCTTTTTCTTTTTTATCTTTCTTTACGGTTTTACCTTTCTGGCTTGCCAGGGTTTCGGCGTGGTCTGCAGTTCGTCTTGGACCCAATGCGTTCTAAGCGATCAGGGAATAAGGAAAAAAAAAGGAAAAAAAAAAAAAAAAAAAAAAAAAAAAAAAAAAAAAAAAAAAAAAAAAAAAAAAAAAAAAGAAAAAGAAAAAGAAAAAGTAAAGTAAATCGAAGACTAAATAATATATGGTAAGAAGAAAAGAAAAAAGAAAATGAAATTCAAATAAAAGAGAAGGGGGTGAAAGTAAAGCAAAAAAAAAATAAAATAAAAAAGAAAATGAAATTTTGGGAATTCAAGAAACCCCCTTTTCCACTGTACTCTACTATTCCTCCTATCTCTCTTCCAAATACCTCCTACTTGTCAACCCCACCGTGGTTGTTCCGTTATGGAGTGCAAGTTTGCGTAGAAAAGATATGTGATGTTGAAAATCAGACCTAGAACATTTAGATGTTGATATACTAGACTACTAACTATGATAGTGGTTTAGAGCTTGGATAGTCTACCCGCGATTCGGGACGGACGGTGCGCGTCTCGAGTTTGGTCGCAGGGAGACTGTCGTGAACCTAGCGTATGCGCCCGTGGATACCAACCAAGATCGTTAGCTAACGTCCCGGCTGCGGGAGTAGGTAATTCGACCTTAGTGAGCCAAACGACGATGGGCTAGGGATGGCGTGCCCGAGGAACGGCTTGGAACGGTCTGCGAAAAGACTCAAGACTAGTGAAAAAGTAGGCGTAGCGCAAGTCGGGGGGAAGCGAAGGCCGCGTGCAGGGTCCGTAAAGTAGTGGAGGCTCGACAAGAGGGCTGGCTGTCTTGTCCGTCCGGTCTGTCTGTCTGTCTGTCCGTCCGGTCCAAGTGACAAGAAAGGGGAATGAGTGGCGCGAGTTTAATGGGTAGTAAGCGGGTAAAGTCAATATCGCCAATGTATTATAAATCCTCGATACTAACAATAGTAGCAGCAATTTATATTATAGAAAGAAAAGAAAAAGACATTGGTGGTAAAGGGGACAGCGGTTGATGCCGGCGATGGTAGCTTCTGGCACGGTCAGAGAAATAGGAATAATAGAAAAATAAAAATAAAAAATAAAAAAATGAAAAGGCAGAGTTACTTGATCGCAAAAGTCAAGTAGAGTTGTGGAGGGGGGTGGGAAAGAGGAAGAGGAGGAGGAGGAGGAGGAGGGGAGGGAGCAGAGAGAGGGTGGGAGGGGGATGTGGGTGGAACAGGCGCAGAATTGGCTGCTGCTACTGGTGGGAATAGGGAGAGAAACGAAAACTGAACATTACCAGCCGTATCCGCAGAGTTGCAAGTCGGTCACCTGTTGCGGTACGGCCGACCTTCAGGGGGGAACAAGAACAACAAACCGAAGTATGCCCGTGGGCTCGCCAATCACAGACACGCCCTTCAGTGGAGTCTCCTCTTGACCTGAGATAACTACAGCTTCCTTCTCCATATTACTCCGTTCTGTCGCTTCAAATCGGAAGACTTCCTCTCGCAGTCCCAGAAACAATGGTACAAAGTACTCCCCTGTATTGGGGTCCTGTCTCCGATGTTCCCTCCGACCTATCTAAACCAAAATCTCTCGATTTTGCGCATTCCCTTAGCCCCTTCCAGACCTGCGACTACGGTAGAGCGGATCAGTCAGATGTATGCAGTATAAAGTGCCTAGTATCTAAGTCGGATGATGGTGTAACCAGTCGAATTCTTATCTTTTGCGCAAGTCAGGAACGCGTCGGTGGGGAACACGAGGGTCTCAGTCCAATCGACATACAGAGGGAATCAGACCTTCAGGCTAATTAGGTTCGATGCCAATAGCCTTCAGACGTATGGGCAACGCTAGTGAGCATGTTATTCATATGCCAAAGTGTATTATCTACTCAGACTACTAGATCGTGAAGAAGGAAGATGGTCAAATATGCTGTCAAAAGCGTTAGACGATCTTCCGATGTTCGTAGGAACAGGCATGGTGTAAGGCCACAGAGCGGAGAGACAAGCCAGGCTCGTTCATCCAGCATCATCGGCTTGAACTTTCCGTCGACTGTTGTACTTTTGCTAACTGCTAGATAACTACTGAACCGGTGGTAGGTGTCTACCAATTTCCTTGGTCTGTCTTTTCAGGGGTACCAACCACCCTTCGAGAGCATAACGATATCTCACAAATGATATGTGCGGAATGCGAGACATGCTTGTAGGAATGGCAGTAATTCCTGCGCGCGATATAGTGGTCATTGAGAATTAGAAATCAATGTTATAGACCAGGGTCAGAATTATGATCATTGTTATGATCATATGTATGGTTGCATCTAGGGGGTGCGACTCCTCGGCGCAGAACTGGGGAAAATTACCAGAACAATCGCAAGTGTATTCCGAAGTAATATGAATACTATCATGTTTTCCAGCACGTATCCATCGCCACGGACAGGCGATCCTAGACAACCACAAGGTCAAATATCGCAGGCAATGCAATGCATCAAAAACGTGATAAGAGGGCCAGGTCAACCCGCCGATGCAGAAGCGAGATGCCGGCACTAGCAGTCCGGAATCAGCGCAACCATAGCCAATGCTCAACGTTGGTTAATATTACTCTACCAATCCTTCCAGGACATCCAAAAAAACAAAGGGTGAGCTAGTTCTTGATAGGAAGGCCAGGCGTGAGGGAGGGGAGAAGGGGACGTGAGAAAATGCAAGGCTCCAATCTCGGAAGGATGCTGCTCCAGCCCACCAGTCTTGGGTGGGCAGATGGACGGGTGATGATTGGTATTCCGCCTGGTTCATACCCCGCGCAGGCGGAACCTACTAACACACCCACTGCCGGTGAAGGCACCAGGGAGCAATTAGAACTCACCAACCTCATAACGATGTTACTACTTAGTACTCTCCATAGTCAATTAAGTGGTTACCTACCATCACCCAATGTCTCATTCAGGAGCTCAGTCCAGCCGGCCATTGCTATGGTCTAGTCGTGGGTCTTATTTGTGAGATTCACTAGCAATCAGCCCACTCCCTTTCACAGCAGTATTTACTCCGTACCTCACTCTATATCGCGTTAGATATAATGAAAGGAAGATACTCCAACACTTCAAACATAGAGAATGGTGCCCGTGAAAATGAGCAGGTCACAAGGCAACCATCATGCGATATGCGTCGTGGGTGGATCGCAGGAATTAATAATAACATCTGGTATCAGTTTCATAATAAGTATTATACCATTACATCCAACCATACCTACAGAGTAACAACATCCAAGTTATCTCGGAGGACTCTGGGGGAAAAGACGTGATTGGTTCTGTTGAATTTGATATGATGACTTAGCGAGCATTCGATTGGAGCAATGATCAACCTGATGCAACTGCCACTTCTGTCCCTTTAGCGAAGCCACTGCACCTTGCTGTCATTCACGTTCACGCCTACAGAATCTGGAACGCGACATCCAGAGACTCATCCGAGAGCGGAATCAAGCCTCCCATCCCCGGATGTATGGGGTAATACTACCAGCGATTCAGAATAGCCAAGGCCTTAGTAGAGGCCGCAGTCAACGCCTAGTACATTCTGGGACGGCGGCCGATTAGTGATGGGTTAAGACTTGGGCGATGGGCGTCGATCGGGACTTTTTGCTTTTCAAAAGTATTACTGGTACGGAGTACGCCTCCACAGCTGCGCTTGGAGAAGCTGATAAACAATGAATGGACCTTCCCCCAACGGAGCAGTGACCACCCATAATCGACAATATTATACCACAATTTCCTGCTCTCTTCATCAGGTCTCCGCGCCACAATGGATAACTTGGAATGAATGCACAATGCATCTGTCCCTGACCAATATCCTCTGCTTCTTCCCCTCCGAGGAGGTACCCAGATGACGGGCAAGTAAAGATTCGGAATAGGAGCATGTATTGCATGTGTATCGAACCAGTATTTTTGGGGCCCACCTTGACAACACAGGAAGCTGGATCAATCCCAGGCCATCAATTATTATTGTTCCCCATCGGGGAAGCCTAACTTATGCACATGAAAGGGGCAATTCACCAATTGTTGACGGAAAAATGATGTAGGCGTGCGTCTTTTTCTTTTTCTTTTTTTTCTTCTCCCCTCTTCCCGACTATTATCTTCGATTTCGTTCGAGAGGTGCAATTGAGGAATTCCTGTGTCTGGTACTGTCTCCTTCAATATATGGTATATGCAACCCTTTTATCCACATATGTATGGCATTGTCGCTGAGTCGTAGAATAAAAGGCTTCGCAGGCTGACTGGTTTGCCTTATGCGGATAGCTCCGCTGATAAATGTCACGTCCGTGACCAAGCTATTTTGGTGTGATCTCAGGTGTTAACATGCTCCACGTGCGCATAGTCTTGAAGCTGGCTAGCTGGCAGCGCGTCTTGGAATGTTTTGGCCATGGCTCCAGTGGCATCTGCTCAAGAGACCCGAGACTACACTTCTGTCTTCAAGGTAATGAATTGAATTCTAATGAGGAATGAAATTGCGGCAATGGAATGAATTAGGAAGGAGAGGAGAGTGTGCGTGACGGCAAAATGCGCCTTCGTTTCTTTTTCTTTCTATTTCTTTTCTTTCCTTTTGCCTCTTCAACGTTCCTGAGCCTACAGAACGAAGTCGCAGTCGCAGTCGCCTTCGCATATAATGCGGAACGGCTACTCCGTACTCCGTAATCAATACCAACCTGCGAATCATCTTCGCCTCGAGGATGTGTTGTGTAACTAAAAGCCCTCTTGCGCCATCGATGGATATATGCGATGGCTGGTTAAATTATCCCCCATTAGATGAGCAACATTGGCCGCTAAATTATCATCTACAGGTATTGCGAAATCACTCAGCTCAGCTCACCTTATTTTGCCGAGGAACTGCCTGCCCTTAGTGGCACCCCGTGGTGAGTCTCCCTACCACGTCTCTCACACTTGGAAAGGCGTATCGGGAGGATGGTAATGCTCGGTACTGGCCTTAATACCTACCGTGGACCTGTCTTCGGACACCGTACTATGGAGCAGACACTCCCGTTCTTGACTGCTTTGGGGATATGATTCCCACCACGGCTCTGCGGCTCACCCCTCCGTCCTTTGTTGTTGTGGAGCAAAAGATGGAGCCATGGATATGGTTATTTGTTGTAAGTGATTTAAACGAAAATCAGGAAAGCGACCGACGTCGCCCCATCCCCAAGAAACTCAAAATCCAAAAAAGAATGGCAGGGAAATCTCTCGAAGGGAGCCAATGGGGAGATCAGCAATTTCTCACGCGCCTTAGGATTTTTGATTAAGTCGGTAGACTAAGGCACCTTTAAGATGATGGGGACACTTTTAGTCGCAGGTCGGAAATCGGTACGCCAATCCGTGCCTGATGATTGACCGTGACGACTCTCTGGTAGCGAAAACCTTGTGCAGCTGCGCTGCGATTTAGGGGAATGGACGAGATCAAGACGGCATATCGCGCGATTAACGAGATTGCGTCCTGACCGATTGACCATATGAGATTTTCGGCGCCATACCAATAGGGAATTTGCGAGCATGAACGGAGGACTCCGTGCTCCGTCCGGTAGTCGGACTTTGCGCATCTGAACCTCTTCTGGGCTCGCTCCTAGACTCTCGCTCTCTCCCTCCCACTCCTCCCACCGGCCCACACGGAAGATCAGACTGTCTGTCTACGCCGCCGATGCTTTCCCCAACTAATATCGGCTACACTACCAGGTAGCTACCTTCCCTAGTGTTAACGATAAGGCCCAAGCTCCAAGAACAATGAGTCAAGTTGTCTCTAACGGGGAGCTCGACGACAATCGGCCGCAAGCCCGCCTTTTCGGGCTAACTGAGTCTTTTTTGACTGACAGACAACCACCAGGAAAAAGTCACACACACACACACACACAGAGGGTTTCCTTAGGTAATCAAGTCTCCATATTTGGTCAGCGAGTGCGGAACGAATCAATAGGCCGAGTTCCTCCGTAGGCAGAATTCCACTTATCGCGAAATACGGAGTACAACGTGTCAGTCTTATTATTCATGACGAGCGAGCGTTTAATATGCGATAAATACTACCTATAGTTCCGAAGTTGCGGACCGCCAAGACCACCCCCCTGTCTGGTTCAGTATAGAGAGAAAGAGGATGGGCCACCTTTGCGACCCCTCGTCGACTTTTACCAGGATCTCCCGGGCTTTACTTAACTGGTGGTATATTGGGCAGAGCGGCTACTGCAGAGATAACCCATGTTTTCTTTTTTCTCCCTTGATTTTAGTATATTATTTTTCCGTCCCCTGTTTTCTCGTGAACATAAGCGATCACGAGCTCACAGATTACATGTTCCATGCATGTTCTACGCCCGCTCGAAACAGAAAGACCAGAGCATGATGATTACAGGCTACCAGGATGACTGATGAGGCTTGAAGGGCTGGCAGCGTCGGCGCCGGACCAAGCCATTCTTATTACGTTAGGCCTTGCCGGAACCTAGTCGACCGTGTCCAATCTTGACTCCCCGTGATACTATCTGCGGAATTCCCGACTTCCGCATATTGGACTAGCAGTTAGTCCCAAGGCTAGCCCGCTCACGGTCCTGGTCCTGGACCTTGACCCAAGCTTAGAGGAGGAGTTGGGACTCCTTGGGAGGGCCGACCTTAGTGGTTAGCGCACCCGAACTGGAACCACTCCAGTTTAGTTTTGTCTCCCGCGACATCGGCCTAACTCCGTTCGGGTCTAGCGGTATATACCTAAACCTGCATTTGCTTTAGGCCTTGTGATTGGCGTTGGTCACAAGTAAAATACCTCACTAGTAACTGGTTGGTACCGGGGAGGACCAGTAGCGCGGCCCACCGGTACGGAGTACATACCGGTACCCTTTCCCCTGGAGGTACGTAAGATGGTACTTCCGGGTACATCAAACATTCCCCCCCAAGGTGTTGTGCTAATCCTATCTGGACCAAGAAGGCAGGTACATAACAGCTGAGCTGCAAGACACAAGACTTAAGATACCGACTACTTTACTACTTAACTTATCACTACTAGTTGTAGTTACTCTATCTCTGATAATCAATTCTCCTCAGCGGGTTTATTTCCCCTTCTTGAAACAACCAGACCCATGAGGCCTGCTTATCCTACTCTCGCGACTCCTGTATTTAACATGGGTTTTCTCACACCTCAGCTGCGCGAGACATTGGAGTCTCTCGTCCAGCTGGGAAAATAACATCCACTCACCGTGACCCTTCAAACCAGACTGGACAGGTCGGGAGTCCCCACTCCACCCTCCCGAGCGTGAATATTACGCGATATCTTACAGTAAGATAGTGAGGTAGCACTCGGCATCCCAATCCAGTCGGGGAATCGAGTCACCTGCGCTGTCAAACAAACCAGGAGATAACGCGATTCCCTTCGGATTTCCCCTCATCTTTCATCTATCCTGACTTTTCTCCGTGGAAAAGCGAAACCTCGCGAGGTCCCGCTGTCCAACACCTTCCTCTCCGAAGCGTGTCGGTCTGTCCATGGATGCGTTCTGAATCGCGTCGCCGCAAACCGGAGCTTTGCAGGGCGCGCCATCTCGCTTGGCTGGACTAACTCCCCGCAGTCGATTGAGCCTCCCTTTGGGCTCTTCAACCCCAGATAATCTTGGCCCTCCTTGCGTGCCCGGATCGGCAAGGCTTGGTTCGCTAGCTATCTGAACAGTTCTGGAGCGAGATTCTGCTTCCTGGATGTCCCTTTTCCCGGCCGTCGGCAAGCAAGAGAATGCCCAGATAGCTCGGCAAGACAGCTTCCCCATGGCGCCCCCACGCACTCCCAGACGGTGTGCTCTCCGGACCCGATCGACTGATGTGCCGAGGCTCACAAAAGCGAGTCACGACAAAGCAGCGGAATCTTCATCCACCTTGAAGCAATCCAGAAAGTGTGATATATCTCAGATAGACACTGCAGATCTGAAATCGCACGCGGATCTGCTTGTTTGCGGTATGTCAGCCCGCTGCAGCTAATGACAAGTGGAAAATTATCCTCCGTGGAAGGCACTTTATGCTGTCATTTCTCCGGACTCTAAATGCTTTTGCGGGGTTAATCTGGCAGTAGAGAATCAATTGCCTCTGGTGCAATGCGTATATAAATTCAGCAGGCTATCAGCTTGGCATTGTCTAGCAGTCAAATGCCCTTCTTTAGAGCTAAATCAAGCAAACGTCAAATCATGTTCGTAAAATGGCAATTTCTGGTCCTCGGGGCCATTCCGATGATTCCGGCATACCCTTCTGGTGCTGCTTATAAAGGCGGGTTTGAATGGGACTCGACGAAATACTTGTTCGTGCTTGCTCTCATTGATGGCCGCATATGGATATCCGGTAGAGAGTTGCTGATACATATGCTAGAATCGCCTTCGGTGACTCGTATACATATGTTCAAGGGACAGACGGGCTACAGAACTATAGTTTCATCGGGGATTTACAGAACTTTGCATATGACCCACACACATTGCTGACTGACAAGATTGTCCAGAACCAGGTGACAACCATTCCTCTTTTTGAAATATACTCGCAGCCATTTGAAGTGTTGCTGATGCATTCATGAAATGCAGACTGCCACTGCAGAGGGCGGTCCCAATTGGGTGGAATACCTGACGGGTTGCGGTCTCGAGAAGGGACTCACCTCACCCTTCGACTGCGACCAACAGCTATGGGACTTCGCCTTTGCAGGATCAGACATCTCAGTTGAATAGTACGCATCTGCAAGCCATACATCATCTCGCATACTTCCTCTAACCCAGTACAGCACCCCTCTCCACCACAACTTCACCGTCTCGCTCGTCAACCAAGTCAAGCAATTCAACACCTACGCGCAACCCGTGCTGAAGAAGACCGTAGACCAGTCACACGCACTAGTAGCCATCTGGATCGGCATCAACGACATCGGCGACAGTTCGAAATACGATGTCGACTTCCCGACCTTCTACAACGAGCTCATGAATACGCTCTTTTCCTCCGTCCAGACTATCTACTCCCAGGGATACCGTTCCTATCTCTTCATGAACCTTCCCCCGCTAGACCGCAGGCCAGGAAACCTAGGTAGCGCTGATCCCAGTCCCAACGCAACACAAATCACCTGGTACAATGATGCATTGGCTCGGCATGCCAGTGCGTTCCATGATCGCTACGCCGACACCAATGTGATGTTGTTCGACGCGCATAGCGAACTCAGCTATATTCTGGATAACCCGGGTGAGTTCGGCATTGTGAATATCACGAACTTCTGTGCGGGATATGATCAGCCGGATATCGCGTGGAATTATCAGGCGTATGGATGTCCTACGCCGTTGGATACTTATTTCTGGTATAATTCGGGGCATATGACGAGCCATGTTCATGAGATCTTGGCTGGTGCTGTGGAGAGGAAGTTGGAGGAGTGGTCGGATTGAGATGGGTTATACAGTAAGTTACCATGTCACTGGAATATAATTTTGGTACATATAGTCATTTGGTGGTAGTGACTGGCTCTTGGAGACTTGAGATTTGATACTAGTTGTTGAAAGTACAGCACCAATCCAGATATATCATCACAACACCACTCATCAAATTCAAAATACATGAATGGTCAACAGATGAAATCAAAAGAATTAGTGTGAACTACTATGTAGCAGACAAAAACCATATCCCACATAATAGTTACCCCACTCATTCATCAATCACCTGTATGTTAAGTAAATCAGAAGTACCCAATAGTATATAGTACCCGATTGCCAACGCGACCAGTATCAGAGACAAAGTCCATACTATAATCCTAGTACTCCACTACTATTATCATAACCACGAAAAATACTGCAGTGCCAATCTACTATACTACATGTACTTATGCATCCCCACAGCTACTAAATAAGCTCTATGATTTCAATTTCATCATAATGATGATGATGATGATGATGATGATGATGATGATGACGACGATATATAGTACTAGTACTCACGCCCCAATAACATAAACAACCACTACTACTTACCAACAAACCAATAAGAAATGAATGGAATAAATCCAATCCAAAGAAGCAGGTAGTAACAAAAACAAAATATCAAGACCAACCCCTCACCCTCCTCGAAGAGAGAAGCAAAAGAGAAAAAAGAAAGACACAGCCACTCGAAGCGAACCGTTACATCGCAGGTTGAGGTAAACTGTTACCTACCTACTACCTACCTACCACTACTACTAATAACTAGTCTACTACCAAGCATACTACATACTACATACATACATACTAACCACGTCATTGGGACAAAAAAGCCAGGATGACCCTAGTAATTATAATAAATCCATCAATACATACATACGATCAAATACATACCTAGTTATCAGCTACTAAACACTAGTAATGATAATAATGAAAATACCTATCCACCCTCCCCCGCCCATCAACAAGGATATAAACAAGGATAATGCCTGTCAGTACTTGCTTGCTAATCAGCCAGCCAACTAACCTAACCTAACCTAAGCAGTACTACTGGTAAATAAACTGGTCAGTCCGCTCACCCTTCCTGCGTGGCTGCTGCGGCGTTATGCAGCTACCGCCTGTTTCATTCGGGCGTGCTTTGTGCTTTGTGCTTTGTGCTGCTGCTGCTGCTGCTGCTGCTGTCGTATTCCCTTTGCTTTTTCTTGGTGGATGGAGGGGGTGTTGCAGATCGAGGCTGGATAGCAGGGATCAAGCCTGTAGATTACTATCGAAGTGCATGGACTTCATGTAGGTGACTTGAGAGGGTTACTTGTGATGGTGTAAAGGTGTGCTCGCAGCAATTTTGTCAAGAGGTAAAACGATTGACCATTTCATAATGCTAAAAAAAACCAGAAGCAGATAGGTACAGTTTCTCTCCAATTATCAGCATGCAAGTGAAGCTACACACTATCTAGTCCCATCCGTTCCGGGAACAAGCCAAGTGATACATAACTTTTTTTGTTTGATAAACCACAACAAAGAATGAGATAATTAACGTGTATCCATGAGAAATATCAGTGCACAATCGTGTAGGTTTCGAGGTCACCCTATGTCGGGGGAGCCTGTTGTTGTAAACTGAGCAAAACACGCGAATAGTCTATCGTAATATCGACGAACGCCGCCCGTACCGTGGTTACGAAAAAGGAATCATGCGAAGGAAAAAGAACGTCTACCGATGTGAGAATGGAATACAAGCTCAGTGAGTGAACTGAGCAGCGAGGTCAGGTTACCAGCGACGGTTGCCACCAAGAGGAGCAGCATTGGAAGCAGTGAAGTGGTTGCCGCGGCCACGGCCACCACCACGGCCACCCCAGCGGCCATAGCCACCGTGGCCATGACCACCACCGCCACTGTAGCGGACCATCTCGGCGAGACGGGGGTCAATCTGCTGTTTGGCCTCAGTGAGAATGGTGACCAAGTCACGAGCCTGCTTGGAGTCTGCAAGAGGGACATGTTAGTACTGAAAAGGCGTTTCATAGGGAAAAAAATCACTTACTGTCAGTGGTAAAGAAGGTGATGGCGGTACCCTTAGCACCGGCACGACCAGTTCTACCAATACGGTGAACGTAGTCCTCCGAGTTGTTGGGGTAGTCATAGTTGAGAACGTGTGTGATGTCGCGCACATCTTCAAACACATGTAACGTTAGCATACAGAGCATTAGTCAAATGAGCAACGTGGCTTAGGAGCCCTTTCTCAGTCGTGAGACTTGATGCATCTCTCTCTCTCGCTCGGACTTAAATCATCAAAAGATCCGTGACAGACGAGTCCGAGGGTGGCAGATATCGTGGTCCTAGAGCAACCTTGGAATGCAGCTTCAACAAGTCGGTAAGAGAGGAACTTTCCCTCCCTCTACCGGCCAAGTTTCAAAAGGTAGATATGGTGAATCAAAACAGAAGAGTAATACGTCTGCTACACTGCACTGTGAGTCCAAGGCTCTCCTGGCTTGAGAACCATTTCAGGAGACCCGACAAAGCCTGGAAGAGTCATACACACCAACAATTGGTGGAAGAGAGTTAAGCACCGTGCCATGGTCACACAACCTCAATATGGGTGAGGGTGACTCGGGAGGCAAGAAAGGAAGGGAGGAAGGGGGGGGAGGAAGGGGAGGGGGAGTCTGCGATTTATTCATACCGATACCACGGGAAGCCACATCAGTAGCCACCATGATTGGGCTCTTGCCCGTCTTGAACTCGTTCAAGACCCAATCTCTTTCTTGCTGTTGCTTATCACCGTGAATAGCTGGAACGCAGGTTAGCAAATAGCTGCTTCAGTGTTGGGATCCTAGGAAGCTTACAAAGTGCCGGCCATCCGTCCTGGCGGAGGAAGCGAGTAATTTCGTCAGCGATGCGCTTGGTGCCGGTGAAGATAAGGCACTTGTTGGCACGGTTCTCCATGATCTTCTCGAGGTGCTTGATCATCTTGTCGCGCTTCTCGAAGTCCGAGACGACCTCGACGATCTGAGTGATACGGTGGTTGGCCGACAGATCCATGGAACCAATGTTAACCTGGATGTAGTCGTTGAGGAAGTCAGACGCAAGCTGACGGACCTCCTTGGGCCATGTAGCGGACCACATGCAAGTCTGACGGTCAGGGCGAATCTGGGAGATGATCTTGCGGATCTGGGGCTCGAAACCCATGTCCAGCATGCGATCGGCCTCATCCAGAACGAGGTAGGTGACACGACGAAGGTTGGTGCGACCAGCCTCGAGCATGTCAATCAGACGACCGGGAGTCGCAATGCAGACTTCCACACCACGGCTCAGGTCACGAATCTGAGGACCCTTGGGGACACCACCGTAGACACAGGTGTTGCGGATACGGGAAGACTTTCCGAACTTGGAGATTTCGGCTTGAATCTGAACGGCCAATTCACGGGTGGGGGCGAGGATAAGGACAATGGGGCCGTCACCGGGGGCGAGGAGGGGCTGGGCGTTGATGTGAACGATGGCAGGAAGACAGTAGGTCAGGGTCTTTCCGGAACCCGTCTCAGCGATACCGACAACGTCGCGACCAGAGAGGGCCATGGGCCAACCCTGAGACTGAATAGCGGTAGGGCGGTCGAAGCCCTGGGCCTTGACCTCGCTGAGAACGTATTGAGGGAAACCGGCCTCGTCGAAGGTCTCGACAGGGCGAGGAACGTTTCTTCCCTGAACAGCCATCTCGTGCTTCTTACGGAACTCGTCAACATCACGCTGAGAGCGCTCGGCGACATCGGCGTGTTCCTTGTAGAAGGACTTCTCGAACTTGGGCAGGGAGTCAAGATCCCATTCCTGCTTCTTCAGACCGGCGCCCAGGTTGGACATGCGGTCTCCGCCAGCACCGCCGGCACCACCACCTCTGCCACCATAGCCGCCACCGTAGCCGCCGCCGCCATAGCCACCACCGCCGTAACCACCACCACCACCACCACCGTAGCCTCCGCCGTTGGAGTAACCGTTACCGTTACCGTAGCCGCCGCCGCCGCCACCGTTTCTGGAGCTATATGGCAAGTTAGCAAGCATGTTCGTTTAAGAGGTACAGATTCACGACGCAGTGTTGAGAAGAGCTGATAGGACTAGATGGGTTGAAGGTTGACCGGATCGCGTGACAGACCGGACCGCAAGGCAGGCTGGGATAGCCAGGAAGCGATCAGAGTCGCGATTCATGTCGCACAGCCATAAGGCTGGTTTGCGCTCCAGCAATCCATCTAGACCAGTGCTCTGATTGCAAAGGGATAGCTTACCGGTAGGAGTCGCGCTGGTAGCCGCCGCCGCCGCCGTAGGAAGACATAATGATGTTATGTGAAGGAAGAAAAAAACAAGTTTTTTTTTAATGAGGTTAGAAAAAACCGGGGGCGTCCAAGAAGACCACGAGGAGACGGGACTGGAGCGAGGGAATCAACAAAGAGAAGTCTGAAGGAAGTAACACAACCTTCAAAGACGAGGAGATGGAGGAGGGAGAAAGAGAGGAAGGAGAGAAAAAGACACAGAGAGAGAGAGAGAAAGGATGAAGCAGAAGGATGGAAGGAAGAAAGAAAAAGGGAAGCGACGGGCGGGAAGCAAGCGAAGAAAAGAAAAGAAAAGCAAAAACCGGCGGAGGCAAACACTCGCCCATTGCGGCTTAGCGCAGGGGATTTGGCGCAGAAAATGCGTTGAGGCGGCGTTCTGATTGGTCCCCGCCGCCACCGCTGATTAAGGCGGAAGGCGATGGTGTTTCCACATTCGACTTTTGTTAGTCTAGATGGCTGAGAGGGAGAGAGAGAGAGAAAGAGCAGGACGGGCAGATCTTTCATGGGTAGCTATAAGCATATTTGGGATATTCATGCAGTCGATGTCATGGTACATAATCTATAGATCCTATTTCAACTCAGTATTCCCTGCATTTTACCTCTTCTGAGTAGCTGCTCGCTTTCCCTTCTTCCTACAAGTGTTTGCCACCCAACCCCATGTCCCAGAAGCTAATCTCCAACTCTGTCGCTCGTATGAAGATCTTGATCAGTTCCTCCACTCGACTGGGCGAAACCTGTCGCATATGCGTCTCCAGTAGTTCTAAGCCAGTGTTAGCCATCTCCCATTACGTGGTAGTTTGTCATCTGCTCGAGTGGGAGCCTCACCGGATCCCAAGCGCACGGCTTCGGTGTAGTCTTCCGCCACATAGTTCTCAATCCACTTCCAGTATCGGTTGCCCTCGCGGACTGACTCCTTGTCGCTGTACAGCCTCTGTGCAATTGCCCCGTATCCGAGTAAGCAGGGCGCAAGGGCCACCTGCAATGCGAGCCAATCCTGCGATTGTCCGATATCAAGGATATACCGGCCGTATGCGGTGCATGCTGTTCAGTAGAGAGTGAACTGTCAGCGAATCTGCCTATGTAATCACCACCATACAACTCGGAAGCTGTTACACACCAATGGTTTCGGGGGTGCTCTCCATTTGCTCCTTCGACAGCCCAAAGGAAGCACAGTAGTCGAGGTGCAACGCAGTCTCACGTTGAATGTGTAGAACGATCTTGGCCGACTATGATGAAATGTCACGCCGTTAGCTCGCTGCATTACATGCCAGCAACTTATTATAACTATACTCACCGCGGCAATGGACTCCATGTCTCCAGCTTTGTACGAGGCTAGGGCGTTGCTCCGGGCGAATTGAACCTACATCGGGAGTCAGCAAGCCATGGTCACAGCATTCACCTTAAACACCCTACCAAGTAAAGATAGTCTTGCACGAGATATGACTTGAACCTTTCCTCCGAAAGTGTGCCATCTCCCAATCTCTTGACAAACTCGTGCTCGGTGAAACGCTTCCACGCTGGCTGGACGTCGGGACGGTCTAGAGCATACTCCACGAAATGTCCGCTGTATAACATCATTAGCAGAGCAAGTCATCAAGTATAAAGAATACCGAGACACTCACGGCGAGAAAGGTAGGCAGTAGAAAGAATGGAAGTGATTGATCGGTCCACTACCCTTTCCGAGATCGATGCTGGTCTTAATACCTGCCTCAACATATCGAACCGCACTCTGAACTGCCCGTCTCATATCCTTACCATGAGCGAGATTGGCCGAAATGGCTGAGGCAAGTGAGCAGCCAGTGCCATGTGTGTTCTTCGATATCAGATAGTCAGTCTCGAACAAGGTAATGTCTTTCCCATCGTAAAACACATCAATGACCTTGGAGGCATCTTCATGATTCTGAGCGGTCCGGTTATCATTCGTGAGCGGCAAATGACCTCCCTTGAGTAGGACACCCTTGGAACCTAAGGAGCAGACTTGCTTCGCGAGCTGGATAAGGCCAGGCAGGTCCGTCGGTTCTGGGACGTCCACGCCAGAATCCTTCAGCAGCAGCACGGCTTCGGGAATGTTGGGGGTAAGAACAGTCGTTAAGGGAAGAAGCTTTGTCCGCAGACCTTTAATGGCTTCTTCAGGTAATAATCGTGACCCGCTAGTAGAAACCATCACCTGTTCATTCTAGGGTCAGAGACAGAGACTTTAAATCAACCACCGAGTAACATAGGGAAAGGCTACCGGATCCAGCACCACCGCAGGCACTTGGTGCACGGTCAATGCTTCAGCAATGACGTCGATTGTTTCTGCCGAAGAGAGCATGCCTGTCACCCTGTCAGTGGTTGGTAGAAAGAATAGAAGAAGCAACGCTCATACCCAATTTGACAACATCTGCGCCAACATCTTCCAGGCCGGCATTAATCTGCTTTTTCACGAACTCTGCGGGAACAATGAAAATGTCTTGCACCCCCAAGGTATTCTGGGCCGTGAGACCAGTCGTTGCCGTAAGAGCATAGCAGCCATGTGCAGCCAGAACCCTCTGGTCCGCTTCCAGACCCCTAAACCCCACGGAAATGCATTAGCTTGACAGGTCTAAAACTGGGAGTGTCCATGCTCAAACATACGCGCCACCGGAGCTGTCAGATCCCGCAATGACCAGAACTCGCGCGACTGACATGACGGCGGTCACTAGGGGGCTTCCTGTAATGTCTAAAAGAATCAATTGAGGAAGAACAGGTCGCCAGAAACCTAGGGAAAAGAACCGAGCGAGTATGGAACGGGCGAAGTTGATGGCGGGAGATTGCGGCGGGCAGAGAAAGCGCCGGGCTTGATTGGCGGGGTGCGGGGCTTTCCCGATTAGGCAATACATATCTCGAGAAAATCACAATACAATGTCATTCAAGCCTATTAATTCTCATTCCATCATCTAGTACAAAGCAATGCCCGCTATTCACATTGATGACCAAGTCCCAAATCCGAACCACCCAGATATAAGCTATATACATAACAGAAAAACGATAAGGATCAATCACGGCAGCATGAAGCGGAACAGACTGTCCATTTCGACCCATTGCCGGCCGCACTTCTTCAGATATGCGTCCACCACTCCTTTAATGGTTCCAAACCGTATGCGGTTGAACTCAGCCAGGGCCGCCACGCCGTCCTTCTTTTCCCCAGTGGGCTCCTTCTCGGCCGCTTTCCGAGCCTTGTCCACGTCCCAAAGTCCTGCGAAGTAAAGTAATTGGTTATACATCTGCTTCTCCGAGTACTCGTACGTCATTCGACCAAGGCAGCCCTCAGCGTGGCCCCGGGGTCCAAGGCACCGGTGTCCATACACGCTGATCTGTCTAGTCCGGTTGCCGCAGGCCGTGTCGTCACAGACGAGCCAGCCTTCATAGTACTTGGACGTCTGTGCTCGAATTTGTGCCTCTAACTGGGCAACGATCGTCAAGACAGAGAATGGCTTCTGACACGCCTGGTTGGGACAAACGATGCCGTTGGCAGTGCACATGTGGGTGGACTGTGCGAGTCCTTCAAAGACCGACTTCTCCTTGCAGAACCGGCAGGTAAGCGTAAGCCGGGTAGCGTTCTCAAAACGCACAGAGTCTGGAATCTGCGACTTGAGCGGGAAGATATCGGCATTCTGTTGGTTGCTCCCACTGGAGCTATTGATCTGGTACTTGCGGACATCAAGCCCCAAGCACTCGGCTAGTCGAACGGCATCGGTACCGGGGATGGGGGCACAGAGACGTTCAATCGGTGGGAAGATCTGCTTGAGAAGGTAGAATTCGATATCAGGCTTGAGTCCTGAGTCCGGCTTCATCACGTCCTGGAGAGTGTATGACCGTTTGGCCGGTGCAAGAGACGAGGTCTCGGCATCCCCATTCGTTACGACATACGATATAACGTCGTTAGGGCGAACCGTTTTACCACGGGCAAGTTCGCGCAAGGCAACTTGGACCGGGGGCATGGACTCCTTGTTAGGATATTCCTCGGGTCGCTTGGAAAGTTTCTAGGTAGGTGAGTTAGCGTGAGCCAGACGAGTGAGCTTTAACCAAAACATACCGTGTAAATGACGTATTTTTGGACGGGGACGGAGAACTCGCGCATCTTCTCGGCCAACTCGCGTAGATAGTCATGGACTCGATTGAGGACAACCTCCTGATCCTCACCGGAGAGAACCTCATTCAGCAGTTTCTGGGAGACCTCCTTCGACAACGAGCAGTATTCACGTCTCTTCATATCCAGACCTTTAACTTCGAGTTTGTCCACGTACTTGCCATCTACTTCAGTCATGTTGATGGCGGCATACTTCTTCTTTGCGTGAAGAAGCAGACGACGGAACACATTATCAATGTCGATCTCCAGCAATCGGTAACGCTCGTTTACTGATTTCTTGAACTCATCGCCGACCTTTAGCGCATCGCTGATCGTGTCCATGTTCGTGTTGATCATGACCGAGTCAGTATCACCATAGATGACTCTAAGCTGCTTGGACTCTGCCAGTTCCTTGGTGCTTCTGAGAATCTCACGACCCTTGAACGTGGTGAGCATGGCTAAAGGACGTGCGTAGAAGCGACTCTGTGTGTATCCCAAGCATCCGTACATGGAGTTAGCGGTCAGCTTGAAGGCCAGCTGTTTGGTGTCCCACAGAGCAAGCTGCTCAGGAGTGGCGCGCTTGTCCTTCATCAGCTTCTTGACTTCACGTCGACGACCGACCAAAGTAGCAATAAGCTTGGGCAGGATACCCTGCTCCTGATCCGAGGCAGGAACTTCGGGAACCTTTTCTTCCTTGTCATTATCCGCCTGGAGATGTCAGCTCATGTTCCATACACTTTCCCTGGCATTTGAACTCACAGTCGCTGTTCGTTCCACTGTTGTAAAGCAGATATTGTACTCCTGGATGATACTGGGATACAGACTGTTGAAGTCCATCACAAGGATGAACTTGTCATAAAGACCCTTCTCAGGTTCAAAAACAAGACCACCCTTGTACTTGTCCTTCTTTTTCTTATCCGCCGACTCATCATCATCACCTTCTTGCATCTTCTCTTCGGCTTTCAGTAGCTTAGAGGAGTATTTGTCGGGACAGATGTACTTGTTACGGTGGAACTCATGGAGAAGAATGTACTCATTCCGCTCAGCACGCGTACCACTGAGCGTTCTTGCCCAAGAGTTACCAGCAATATTCGTGAGAACCTTGGTCAAGGGCAACATCTGAAGCCGCAGGACCAACG